CAGATTTTAACTCCGCCTACACCAACTCTCATTTTCCTGTACTCCTCCAATTTGTCAGTCAGTCTTCCTCCGAACACAAAACCATACACTCCAAAAAACGATCAGCCGTGTCTGTTCTAGAATCAGAAGCCGAGACTTGTAGTTTACCAGCAAATTAAATAAACTTGTACTCCGGATTCTCGTTAGTTCTCAATATACCATATTCTATTCGTTGTGATCCAAATCCCGTATCCGTGGGCCGATACGACACCACATATGTTTCCAGATCTTTGAATATTTTCCGTTTGTCTGGTATACCACATGAAGTGTCTGATTCAACTAATAAAACGTACAAGATATTTAACAACGAAAACGCGGAAATTAAAGAAGAGTATGTGGTTCATATTGCCAATGTTAAAAGCGTATGTAATATTAAATTTGTATCATTGGCATTATCGATTGATTGGTAAAAATTGTGATGAACATTTTAGGAGGATAAAGTTAAAAATGAGAAGTGTAACGAAGTGAAGAAATCACAAAACACCGTGGTATATCCGTTCACGTTTGATTTACGAGAGAAATACAAGGGGGGAAATAAACAGGGACGTATAAACAAGGACGTAAAATTATTTAATAGTTTTATAATACTTCATTTATCTGCAGTTTTTAGAAGAAGAAAAAAAAGTAAGAGTATTCTGGACAAAAATAGCCTCGATAAAGCCTCGAACAACTTTTCGTGGTGATAGTAATAATAATAACAACGATAATAATAATAACACTCAAAAAGCAAATCCTTGCCAACAAATTAAAAAAAGTACTGAGGTAATTAAGCGAGTTAAAAGTTGTATCCAAATTGAAACACGTATTTTAATTGAATTGTACATTATATTAACAAACAATAAAAACGTTTCTCGGTTCCGGATATAATTCAGCTTTGGAAGAAATCACCATTTGTACCATGTTTGTCAAGGAAAAATTTGGTGGTACCAAAAACATTGCGAACAACGACTCGAGCGCAAGAAAGAAAGCGCTTTGACGCTGATATGAAAGAAAAAGAGCAACTGAGACAAATGGTAATTATGACATTTTAAACGTTATTCATTCAAAATATTCTATTGTTAGAACGAAAATATTACATGTTGATGAAATGAAAATAATAGGAAATTGCTGGTAAGAAAAAGCAAGAGGGGGAAGAAATTGCACAATTAAGAAAACAAACTGTTCATAAAGCTCAACCAGTTCGTAAATATAAAACAGATTTACCGAAAATTCAAAAACGACCACACACAGATCCCAAGACTCCGCAAACGTTAAAGCGAGGTCGTTGCTAAATGCTAATATACGTTTAAAAATTGACCCTAGATTGTATCGTGTATTGTATTGTGTCACTGTATTGGAATAAATTTAATAAAAATATTTGACACGTATTTAAAAAAAAATTGAAGAAACTTCATATTTAACAACACAATAAGTCATAATATGATCTGATCACAAGCATGGTACAGAGACGAAGAAAGCATAGTTGCCAAATAGACTAATCCCTCAGTATATAATCCGCACTTAACAGCTAAATATATAGCAGGTATGAAAAAACCATTACTTAAAGTGAGCATCATTGTTGTTATAAGAAGAGAGAATTCAGGATTGGCACTAGTAGCATCAGCACAGCCCCAACCTTTGTATCCTGTGTGATAAAACATATTGGCATGCTTGAAAACAACTATGTAAGCAACAATTAATTACTGCTAATAATAATCAGACCTTCAAAGCATTTACACGTTGTATAATATAGAATAGAACAGGGGTCGGCAACCGTTTTTACTAGGAGGGCATATTTCAGAAATGAAAATATTAACGTAACATTAATTTATTACATAAATTTTTATTTTTATAGATAAAATAAGAATTTTTACTAAAACTATTCATTACAACTACGAGTGTTTGTTATTCAAATATTTAAAATTTAGAATTTAGATATTTGAACGGCGGGCACTTTAAAATTGCTTCGCGGGCACCCTGGAGCCCGCGGGCACCGTGTTGCCGACCCTTGATATAGAATATCTCGATGAATTTCTTGACAAATTCCACGATGACCACATGGATAATTTCCAGGAAACACACATTACCTAGTTCGTATATCCAGCGATACTAAAATTTCTTCCATTTCACAATTTACGGGTTTTCTATTTTAAAAATAATATCATTTTCCAATGTTCATTCAATTGTAATCTTCATTTTACATTTCTAAAAATATGATCTTACTCATTAAAGTAACATGTTGCATGTAAAGTAACATACCAAGTATCTGACTGTGGATACGGTATTAATAAACTTCCGTCATGTTTATCGAACGAAGATAAATTCATTAACATTTCTGAATCCTCGCATACAATATTACCCTTAATTCTATCTGGAACTCGCCCACGACGAACACAAAGTATAACTTTTACTAGCTGTCTTGTTGAAACCTGAAAGCCATAAAATAATCAGAATGAAATTGAATATAAAATTATATATACGAATTTCTGTTACTATTACTTACTTTATCCATTTCCAAATGAACACTTATATCAAGTGTACCAATATCTACTAATGGTAAAATATTAAATTGTGGTACTACTGGATGTATATCAGTTAAGATTACCCAAGAAATTAAACATTCTCTAGCCTGAGTATCGAATTTTTATATGTATACATTAATAATTAATATAATATATATTTGTTGTTATGTTAAACATTTAATACATGTAACAGATAGACACCAGAGAATGTTTGTGAGTGCTTTATTCGGGCAAGTTGATATCTTGGGACACATGGATCATCAAAATTTTCATCTGGTATATGGAATTGATTTTTCATAAGATCAACCCCATTATGAAATGACTCGTTATTTTTATTTTCATCGCGATGCAAACGATGTTTTGTTAGATCTTTCATGTGTAATTGAGCTAGTGCTTTAGAAAATGAAGGTGCATCCAAATATTGTCTTACAAACGACTTTTCTGTTATTCTGATTGGACATTCTGAAAAAATAAGGCACATTAAAAATAATTTACAAACTTGATGTTAATTTAAATAAAAAAAGTAATAGATAACCAACTTTATCTGAAGTGACTACATACTGTTACATTTACTTCAATAATATTGTCTGAAATATTCATCAAATCGTAATAACAGTCTTCATAAGGAGAAGACTCTGTAAAGGTGTATGAACCTAACATAGTTACACTTCCAATTACATTTTGTTCAGAGTTATTGAAAACAGGTAGGGAACGTCCTTGTAAAGCCATATTTTTAATGCAAACCTCATGTATACCGTGAGACTTATAAACAGTGAAATTACAACCCAAATATGTATATTCTAAGAGAGAATTTAATATATTAATAACGCTAATTTTTATTTTAAATGAATACAATAATGACATTCTTTACTTGTAATAAGAAGTAGTTTATTTTGTTCTTAATGTATGTTGGTAACCAATAGGTATATTTTCAATACTATTGGTTTGTGTCCATATGGCTACAGAACCTATACTACATATAGTGGCATTTATGGCCAAGCCCCTACAATTTAAAAAATTGCAAGGTTAATGTAAAATATTCTAAAATTAATTAAAGTATAAAAAATAAAAATGCACCTGTTGCTGCACTTTCTCATCCCAATGAGACAAATATGCTCCAACAAACCAATCTCCAGTATCTGGTCCATAAACCGGTACAATTGCAGTAAGTTTTGGTTTAAATGTTGTAATTGCAGAAACTATAATAGTATGATTACGCTTAGGATCCATATCATTAGGAAATATATCATTATTTACAGATATCGCAGGGTAACTGCCCCATTGCAGGTATCTAGAAATTGCAATAATAAAAGCAAATTTATTACATTATCCAGCATTATCTCATTAGGTGCGAGGCTTTAATGGGTACAATTTTGCGAATTAAATTAATATTTCTGTAAAAAGCAACAATAAGCAAAAAATACTTGCAGGACTGTAATCTACACAATTTATAGAAAATAATGGTGAAGAGTTTTTTTCGGCCCATCTTAGGCGATTTGCGTAATTAACAACAGTTTTCATGACATTTATAATGAAGTGCAACAAAGCTCCATTTTGCATTTAAAGTTTTTTTTGTTAATTTTGAAATTATTACAACTGCAACATTATGTACTGCACACATACTTGAGGTAAAGACGTAAAATAGAGACACTAGATAACAAATTTAAAAAAATTATTTTACAGAGCCATCTATTATTGCGTATTCTGGAATTACTAGTGAAGTACTAATAGTTTCTTGCCAATACGATCAAGTTGTCAAATTTAAATAATTAGTGTAATGAGGTGAGTGAGGGTACTTAAACCGAGAACACATCGCGTGCCATATCCGAAGACATGACGTGTTAAAAGAAGGTAGAGAAAGAACGAAAGACAGAGTTGGGAGAAAAGGGTGCTCCAATTTCAAACTCTGATATCAAGGAGAGCTGGTATAGGCAGGACCAAGTTAACCGGCCGTTAGCATACCTTTCTCATATTACTAATTAAGTATTTGCGAGCTTACAGTATACTGTAACGAGATTTGCATTATCTCATCTAAGACTCGTTCTTGGCTGTTGGGATCAGTTACGTATTTAAACGCGTCTTTCAAGTGAACGAGTGTGGTCGTATATGAAAAGATATTGAGAACAGGATGTTAGGATTACATATTATCATATTACGTTTAAACTGGAATTTCTACAAATGAAACAATTTGGTATGACGAAGTTATTTCACGCTTTGGATTTACTTTTATTAGGTTAGTGTAACTAACATAACATAACAAAAAATAATATACATACTTGTAACGGATGGTTACAAATCTTGAAGTGCGCGTAAGTGCGTGTACGTTTCGCGGTGGTTACAGAGGTTATTGTTGTGTTTTTTCTTTTTTACTTCTCTTATATACTAATTTGTCTAGGCGTCACCCTGTTGAGGGTGGAGCTTAACTTATTTCACATTGGTGAAGTTAGAGGCTCCACCTCAACATCTTTCCTGGCAAGGAGGTGGAAATTTCTTGGATTTACTCAGCGTGTCCTGTTTATCTTTGAGGGGCGTTTGTGTGACCGTGAGCCGCTCGCGCGTTATAAAATAATTTTTAGCAATTAAGGTTTTTAACTTGCAGCAATCGTAAAGTATCGAAAACGAAGTCCTCGACAACTGCAAACTTATTTCTACTAACGATACTCATAAACCGTGCTTCGCTACATACGGAATCAAAATAAGTTCCACACGATTCTATACACTTTTCTCAACGATTAACTAGTTTCATTATTCCAAATTTATAAAAATCAGTCTCCGAATTCAAAAATTCTTCGAATGCCGTTTTTGCAGTGTTCTCGTTTTGGAATAATTTATTTGTTAGAAAAAATTGTTCAGGTGCTT